TTGCCAAGACTCGCTTGTCTGTTATCATCCCGTGTTTCCGCTTTAGCGGGGTGTGACACCTCCGAAGGTAATCCAGCAAATTGGCCATTCGTTTGCAACATGTGAAACATTATCGATTTTAGTTCGAAATGGAGAGCGGTCATATATGGTCTAACTATCCCGGAATTTAATTGCTTATAATCCGGAATAGCATAATCCATGATCCTTCATTTTTGGAATTTGCCAAATTAATGATGTTCGGAGTTTGTGCTCCTTGTTGCTCATTTGGTTCCGATTTTGTGTCCAAATTATTCTCATTACCATTATTTGGATGTCCTTGTGGAAAACTCGGGAAGGGTGGAATTGGTGCAAAAACCGGCGGTTGGTTTTCCAAATGCGGTATTTCCGGAATGATTGGGGGAGGTAACGCCATGTTTGGAGGGAGTAGAGCAAAAAATGCTCTTTAAGCCCTCCTTCTATGGTGAAACGTTCTCTCAATATCGGGATCAAATTCGAAAAAATCACCGTGTTGTGACCGTGGCATACAACACTTTTAAAAATGATTCCAATGGTACCAGAAAAATCAAATCCTTTACTATACTCAAAATAAGACATTTAGCTTGCCAATCCGTGGCAGCGACGCCAAAAACTTGGTCGATTATATCGCACACCGTTAGACTAAGGAATTGGACCACAAAGCAAGTATACAATATGGTCCAATGTTGTCTTTCCATGTAATAAAGTGGTACAAGTACCGGAATATCGTCCACAAAGATTGTACCCAAAGTTAAATGAGAGTCCAATGAAAGAGACGATTTCAGATGACGATTTTGAAGACTTTTGTTTGATGTTAAAGTGAAATAAAACAGAATACATAATATATAAAAGTTGTAATGGTGTAAGACTTAAGATGAGACCCAAACACAAATTCCAGTAGCCAATGCTGTAGGAATGCTACAGCAAGCAGTGTTTCAAAACTAAGTTCCACCATCTATTTTGAAGGCATTCCTCTCGGACTTCACTATTGCACTATATTATAGCTTTCCACCCATATCTCTATGTGGTGTCCGGACCAGGTATAGTGACAAGATGTTGTTTTCAAAATATATGGATAACCAAATCTCTTTGTTAAAAATCACTCTCTCGAGTTGATTCTCATATCATTGGAGTTGGCGCGTGTTCTTAGATAGTTCATCTCTAAATCTATCGTACTTTGACACTTTCGAAGAGTGACCAAACCGTTGGGGGTTAAGTTTGAAAAACATAAATGACAAGTCTCCTTGTCGGCAACTTTCTCAAGTCTACCTCTTATGTCATCCAAGTTGACGTGCATTCAACGGCTTATCTCTAAGTCCATGGCACTTTAACACTTTCAAAGTGATCAACCCGTCAAGAAGTGTGTTTGGTTTTATAAGAACTCGAATGAAACAATGGAACGTCGTTTACGAAAACACTTAGCTACTTTCGTTTGGTTTGAAAATCTCACCCCTTTCTGTCTCACACCCAAGCTATAAAAGCTTAGCTACACATAACGGAAAGTGAATTACAAGAAAAATAAATGACGGAAAGTAAAGACATAAACGTAAATTGCGTAAAGTAAATGACGAGAAAATAAATAACGAGAAAGTAAATGATGAGAATGTAAATGACGAAAATGTAAATTGCAAAAATTAAATAACGGAATGTCAATGATAATAAACGTAAAGGAACGTAAAATAAAGAGCGGAAAATAAAAGACGAGAAATTAAAGAAGAAAAAGATGAAGAACTTGTATTGCTCAAAAGATTACTATAAATCACCCTTGGAGAGAGTTGATTTTAACACTAGATAGTGTTAGAATTGATGATGAAAATGGAACCCCAAGCCCTCCTTTTATACCCAAAGAAGGCACTAAAAGACAAAAAATACAAATCTTGGAGGTTAAGCATCCTAAATTAAGTTACAAAGTAAAGAAAGAGTAACTAAAAGTACATTAGCCTAACAAGAGTCTTAACTACAGGTTTTTAACCAAAAAATCAGCTTTTACAGTTGTCTTCCATTAGTACAAAAAGGCAGCGTCTTAATCATTAAGCCCTCCAAAAAGTTGCACATTCATCAGATCGCCGCTGCACCAATGCTGTAGCATCCTGATGTTTTAACAAAAACTCTCCATTAGCATCTTCTATGAGTTCCAACAAGTCAACCACAATATTTAGCTTCATAATAACAAATGTATAAAGAAACGAATAAAAATGACTCAAAGTGGGAATGAAAATAAACTATTCTAACTAATAAGACGTAAAACGAGTGCTTTATGTGTTAAATTCTCAAGGACAGGGCATTTAGTACATGTCGCTATTCCTGCATCCAGAGGGGCTGAGGAAAGCCGCTGACCAAAACCTAGSGTTCGCACCCCTTTCGAAGCGGAATAAAGGGAAAAGTGAGTTGCAAGTCGAGAAAGAGAGAGAGAATATCACATAGTTGTTAGACCAAAGAGTATATAAGGAGGCTTCCTTCTCAGGTTCAGAAAACCTGAGAATGTCGACTTATACTATACTTGTTTATTATGAGATTACGTTTTATTTTATTGTTCTTTACTTTCATCAAATAAAAGCAT